AGTGGAGAGGGAGTAAGTAAAAGCCCCATACATTAAGAAACTGCAAAGTAAAATAGAATAATATTTACTATTGATTGAGTGTTTACCAGGTGATATAAACTGTGCTAAATAAACACTTTACACATACCAGCTCACTGCACAACAAATCTGCAAGATGGGTAGTATAATTATCTCCATTTTGCTGATTATGAAAGTGAAAACTCAGAGTAATTTGTCTGAAGTTACTCAGTGGTAGAAACAGAATTCATTCTCAAAACCTGTATGGTATTCCAGCTCTATCAAGTTCTTAATCCTCCATAATTTTTTTTTGGATCAAGGTCAATTCATCATATCTAAAGGATGGACTATATGATCTATAAGGCCCCTTCTCACAAGGTACTGTGAGCAAAAAATGCAATCAGTTCACACATAATATCTTTAACAGTATACTCCAGGTTTAAGGGGAAGGAAAAAAATAAGAGGAGGAGGAGAAAGAGTAATAGGCCCTTCCAAGGGTCCTGACACAGATACATTTTACTAGATATCAGGGTCACTCACTGTGACAAGAGTAGAAAAGAGGAACATAGAATAGGAAGTGACAGTAGACTGTAAGGGATGCACATAAATAGAAATAGCTTAGCCCACTGATATGACTGACTGCCTTACGGTAGACAAGGAAGGAGCTGTGGAAAGGGGAGTTAGTGGCCACGAGCTCAATGTCGGGCCAAAGTACATAATAAACCGGTCAGTAGTTAAATAGGAATATTTGAGTATAAATGACTGACTACTGGGTTTCTAGAAGAGGCATTTCCACAACTGTCATACATTTGAATCAATCTGAAATGTATAACACTATGAAGAATGTGCTTTTAGGACAGAATGAGGAAGGAACCGGCACTTACTCTCTTAAGTTCCTTAAGTTCTACTATGTTCCAGCCACTGTACATGCGCTTTCACATGTTACTATACATAACTCTCACAACAACCTTGTTAGATGTGATGGTTAACTCTACATATCAACTTGGCTGGGCCACAGTGTCTAGATATTTAGTTAAACGTTACACTGGATGTTTCCGTGAAGGTGTTTTTTGGATGGGATTAACATTCAAATCAGTGGACTTTGAGTAAAGCAGATTTACCCTCCATAATGCAGGCGGACCTCATCCAATTAGGCCTAAATAGCACAAAAGACTGACCTGTCCTGAGCAAAAAGGAATTCTGCAAGCAGACTGCCTTTGAACTCAAACTGCAACTCTTCCCTGGGTCTCCAGCCTGTGGGCCTACCTTGCAAATTTTGGACTTACCAAGCCTCCACAATCATATGAGCCAATTCCTTAAAATCAATCAATCCCTCTCTTTGGACACATAAACACACACACACACACACACACACACACACACACACCCCTACCTACTGGTGTACTCTGACTAGAGAACCCTAACTAATACAGTAGATATCGCTCTTAGGAAAATGACAGCCTGAAAGGGCCCACTCTCTTTTCCCACTATACCACACAGTAAAATGCCCTCAGGACTCACATTTTAGTCTGCGGGTCCAGCATGGGAGGTGGAGAGTAGTAAGAAACAGGGAAATTTTGTCACCATAAGCCACACATCCCATGGAGTCCTTTACAACACTAGCATCACACATGTACCCAAAGCTTTGATGTGCCCAAATAATGTACTATCCTTTGTCTGGTCTCCTGATTCAGTTATTTGGATAAAAGAAATATTCCTACTAAATCGATAACATTTGAAGACTTTGAAAGAAGAGGAAAAATAACTAGCAAAGACTTTACTTACCTTGGTTCAGTCATCAATTCAAATGGAGACTACGGCCAAGAAATGAAGAGAGGGCTGAGAGTCAAAGGGGCAGCAGCAATGGAAGAATTAGGAAAGATCACCAAGAACAAAGATGTGTCATTAGAGACAGATCAAGGTTAAGATCATTCACACCCTCATATTCCCAATTACATGTACAGATGCAAAAGTTGGACAGTGAAGAAAATAGAATGAAAGGAAAAATGTGATTCGTTTGAAATATGGTGTTGGAAGAGAGCTCTATGGATACCCTGGACTGCCAGAAAGACAAACAAGTGGAGCCTAGAGCAAATGAAGCCTGAAACACCACTGAAGGCAAAAATGACAAAACCGAAGCTGTCTTACTTCGTCTCATCATTAGAAGGCAAGGTTCTTTAGAAAAGACAACAATCTTGGGAAAAATAGATAGTAGGAAAAGAGGAAGAACAAATGTGACATGAGCTGACTCCATAAAAGAATCCATAAGCATGAGTACACAGTTGCTGAGCTGGGTCACTGAGGACAGAACATTGTGGACATCACTCACACAGAGTCAGCCAACTCAGCGGTGTGTAACACACAAAAGATGGAAGTAAAAGATAAAAAGGAAAATAAACAAAAAATTATTTGTGTCACTTTGCTTTGTTTAGGCTTTCTCTGGTTAGTCATTCATTCACTCCCTCAACAAGTACTTATTTTGTACTTTATATTTTTTACAGGCTCTTCTGGATACTGGAAAGTGCAATCTAGCTGGAGGGACATACAAAATACTAAATGTGCAGAGTGAAAAAGGACCAAGTAAATCGCCCTCTAGTCAAGAAGGTTTCATAGAAGAGGTGACATTTCAGCTGGGACAGGTATGAGTTTAGTAGAGAAGGAGGATGGTATTTCAGACAATTTCTAACACAGTAAAATTCAATTGAGTCTATGTTGTATGTGGCTAAAAGTGTATGTGTGCTATGGGTAGGGAGGCTTACAGTAGGATGTGAAATTGGAAAGGCCAGCTGGGGTTATGTGGTGAGAAACATGCCAAGGAATTTGACCTTTATCTTGCTAACAGTCACAGTTACGGAGGATTTCTGAGCAGAGGAGGGACAGGGCTATAGGCTAAGTCTTTTTATTGAAACCATTCATGGAGTGTATGTGCATATAAAGACAGCTGGGAACAGCTTGGTCAGTGGGACAGATATAACCACAGATAAAGAAAATCATTATAAAGTTTGATAAAAATTAAACCTTGAATAAAAACTGAGCCCTACTGTTATAATAACAATATTTATTATTAAAAGGCATAAAAGTATTTCATATGCTCTAACTAAAATATTAAAGCTGAGTTTGCGCATACATAGTCGCAACTAAAAATCTATGGCCCAGAAACTGGCAACTACTATAACCATTATTATGCAAATAAATACATATGTGGAAATTTTTCTCAAAAAAATGAAATAACACTCAATTGGAGTTGATGTAAGAAAAATTATTATGGTAATAAAGATATATGTGGAATCTATGTACTAAAATATAAACTAATATTCATATTTAGGCCAGAGGGCAAGAGGAGGTTGAGTAAAGCCAAACATTTTGCAAATTGCCAAAATGGAAACAGAACTAGTCTTAAATTACATTTCTAAAGAGTGAAGTGGTCAGGAAAGGTATCTACTTTGAAGGAATATTAAGAGCTAATAAATCATTCGATCTTTTCTACTCTTTTTCATCATTCCTAAAGGGATTTTAGAAATCCTCATTCCAATAGTTCCCCTTCAGTTTTACTTTAGCAATAGAACTCTGCAAGTAGTGGTATAAAAAATCAGTATATAAAATAGATAAAAGCATAAAGCTCAGGCTGAAAGAGGTCAGGGAGAGAGGGGTACTGGGAAACCCTAACTTGGCATCGACTTGGGCCTTCACTCACCGTTCCTACGAGATGTCTCCCCAAAGAGCCCTCAATTTTCCTCAGTGAAGTGTGAAACATTTTGGTTCTTGCCCGAACCTCTAAGTTTACAAATGAGGAAACCGCAGCCTAGAGAATTAATTTAAGTGAGTTGCCTAAGAAAAAGACCCCTTTTTCCTGGCACTTCTGCTAAACTTAAAATGTTTTCTCTTCCTCATAAACTCTAATACAAACTTATGCATTAAAAACAATTTCTTATAAATTATTCTACAAGTTCATGCCATCGCTCTGTTCCAAATTCCTATTCAAAATCCACATAGGTCAATAACCACGAATGTTATAAGTGTCTACTGGAGGACATACTATGCTAGGGATATGTCATCTGCTCTCATTTTACCATTACCCAGTCTCCAGGAGATCAAGAAACTGGGCTCAGGGAGGTATAGTAACATCCCCAAAGTCACTGAGCTAGCAGAGTAGAATCCTGGTGTATCTGATTCTTAAAGCCAAATCTCAGACTCTTGCATTCTTTCTAATCCCAACCTTTCCCAAATCTTTACCCATCTCTAGACAAGTGCCCAGAAATACAGAACTGTAAGGATCCTGTCATTTAACACAAGATGTACATTTCCATCCAGGCTTGTCCAGGAATACCTCATGCCAAAGCCATGCACAAAGGCATCAAGTCTTGCTTACATTTCTAAACTCAAGCTTCAGACCAGAGATGCTAACCCCCACCCCCATCTCACTCTCAAAGCTTGACATACTCTAACTTCCTTTATAGGCAGGGGCTACACATATGTTCAGTCTTACGGAGACCAGGGAAGATTAAAAATTTAATAAAAGGGCCACAAAATCAACTTTGAGCTGAGCATGAGATGACAAGGTGGCATTTTAAGTTGAATATGAGATATCGTCTAATAAGATATTGAAACTTTGTATTTAGGGGTGGCTTTGGGATAAAGGATGACTCACAGCAGACAATGGACCAGAGTTGGCACTAAATAATTTGGATTTGGGAAGAGGTCGGGGGAATTTGGATTAAGGCATCCTCTAGGAGCAGAAAGACTTGAAGCGACTGTCATAGCTAATTACAGAAGAGTGGAGCCAGGACTGATATTAAATTACTGGTAATGGGAGAAGAGATTTTAAAGAGAACCTGGACTTGGGGCCATCCTTTGAAAAGTGTTATCCAAAGATCAGACAAGTTATAGGCATTAAGGTTTTGCAATTCTGGGTGGACTCCGGTGCCTGGGGTTCTGTTGCTTGGGCTGGGGGCTGCGAAGCCTCAGCCCCACCCCCGACCCAGGCCCTATCTACCAAGCCTTACCTTCTGTTGGATGTAGTGAATCGAGTACTCCATGACTATAGCGGGATGCGATGTGAAGCTAGTTGACAAGTGCAGGTTGTTGAGGGCCCTTACCGCCGGAGGTACGGGGATGGCGGCGCCAGGCGTCAGCAGAGCCAGGAGTAGGGACAGGAAGGTGCGGCGTCCCATGGCTCAGGCTGGCGGCTGCAGTGCGGGTGGAAGGTAGACCTGCAGAGATGAGCAACTGGAGCCCGCCCCGCCTCCAACAGGAGCCCGCCCCGCCTCCAACAGGCTCCTCCCCCGGGAAACTCAAAGTCACCCCGCCCCTCAGCTGCACTGCCCAAACCCGTGACCCAAGCCACACCTCCCCCATCCCCAACCCAGAGGGCGCCACCACATTTCATTTTTCTCTCGTGCCACCTTCACTTTATAGTCCACCTCCATTTCGGTCACATTCCCAGTCTACCCTCATCATTCCAGGGTCCCATCCTTCCTGACCTCTGAATCCCATCCTTAACTATATTACACCTTTCGGCTTGGTCGCCCTACATCCTCGCCTTTATCGTCACTGCCAAACCCGGCCCTGTCCGCCTTATTTCCATTGTCACATCCCTTACCCTCCGCAAATCCTATATAATGGTAATAATATCTACCTTGACAATTCATTGATCTTTCACTATATGTCACTACATCACTAGACATAATGGTACACACATCATCCCATCTAACAGCAATCTTGTGCGTCGTGTGATTGTTATTCCCATTTAGAAATGAGGAAACAGGCTAGGACTGTTGCGGGTACTGGCACTGGGTCACCCAAATCAGAGGAATTGAGAAGCACTGGCTGCTCGCACCCCACCTCCATTACATAAGCCTAACCACCTTCAAAGGTACTCTGTTCGAGGGTCGCCCCAAACCTCCGTGATGCCCACACAACCCAGCCTTTAATGGAGATCGCCCATGTAGCCCCGGAATCCAGCTTGGTTCAGTTCCCTTCTTCCATGTTACGCCTCCTCTTTTCTCTGCACGCGGCAGCCGCTTTGGGCCTCCCCACCTTCCTTACTCCCTCCTCCTGCCGCCAACCCATTTCTGCCCCGGTCCTCGGGCTGTGCCATGCTCCTCGAGCAGAGCTCCCTTCTGTTTTCACGGCTCTGCCAATCCCCTTCACCCAGTTTCCGCTCCTTTTTCCAGTCACCCTGCT